TAGTGAGAGAAAGGGGTTGAATTTCAGTGTGCCAGACAGGGAATCTTTTTCATCCTGATTTAATAAAAAGAAAAACGAGGAGCCAGAAGAGGTAAACAAGTCATAGCTTACGCCTAGTGCCTACGGCAGTGCTATGGACAGAAAACTTAAAAACTCTCACAACTGCAGGGAAGACTTGAGAGGGTGTTGAAAGTGGGGGTGGGAGGGGGAGGGGGCAAGAAAACTTACATATTTCTAAACCCAGGAGCTAAAATGTGTTCAATGAATGTATACACAAATAGGTATACACAAATCAATAAGCAATAAGAAATATTACACAGACTACAGAACCAAACTTATTTTTTGGGGTCTTCTAAATTACTAAAATTCTTTATCTTCTTTTTCTGCACATATTACTACTAGTAACACTACTAATTCCCATAAAGCACAGCTCACATGACCTGGAGGAAGATAGTACTGTGAACAATTTCCTGATGTAAAGAGGCTACATCAAAGAGACAGTGGTTGTAACATAGAATGTATAATTAACAGGTTAATGAATGCAGACTTCCTCACACCTTGGCTGTAGAGATCTTAAGTTACAGCTACAGTATTCTGATACACTGCTTGGCTGCTTCAGAGTATGAAGCATAACTATGGAAAACATCTGGAGGGACTCCAACTTTGTCAAAGTCTTTGGCTGTATTCACACAAGGCTCATATGATTGAGCCTATACAACCTGGTCACACACAAAACATTCCCCCATAGGTGTTCAGAACTGGTCTTACTGAAAGACAGAACAGTCTTAGAGCGCATTCTCAACGAATTAAGCCAGGCTTTACAAAGCCGGTGACCTAAAAATGGCGGACGTACATGAAAGAAAAACCGCCTAATCTTTTAATAGTCTCTCCGCCTCCCCACACGTCGTCCCTGCGGGGTACAGTAATTAAATCTCGGCTCCGTTCGCCATGCGGAAGCTACCTGAGAAATATTAAGTGCGCATGCTCATCAGTTAAACTCGTGGTGAAGAAGGCATGGCGGCTGAAGGCAATCGAAGGAAAAAAACTCTTCTGTTTTATTATCTTTGAAAACAGAGACGAAAAAGGAATAATTTGGCCCGTAGAGCAGCAATGAATCGACTATCTAAGGAGATAATATCACCAGAGATATTCACGGAAATATTAATGTTCGGAGCCGAGATTTAATTACTGTACCCCGCAGAGCCGACGTGTGGGGAGGCGTGTGAGAGGCGGAGAGACTATTAAAAGATTAGGCGGTTTTTCTTTCATGTACGTCCGCCATTTTTAGGTCACCGGCTTTGTAAAGCCTGGCTTAATTCGTTGAGAATGCGCTCTTACTACTAATGACACTAGACCAGATTGCTTAACATCAGGTTTAAATCTCTGCTAAGATGAGTTGTCCCATGTGACAGTTTTTTTAAGACAAATTTTCCAACTTACTCCTAGCAAGTTCAGCTCTTTAATTAATGCAACTTTAAATATCAAAATGGAACTAGTCTCATTTTGATCCATCAACCAAGACATATACAGATGTTCATGAGCTTTAATATCACTAAAGGAATCCGTCAGCTGAGTAATCCACCTTGATAATATTCATATATTTCCGTCTATCCACATTTAGATTATTTAACTCTCAGATATCTATAGCTATCAAAACATTTCCATAAGGTAAAAGGACTTTTTATTTTGAAATTTTGATAATTTTTTTCATACAAGAGCGCAGAGTCATGAGACGCTACTGTTGTTAGAGCATGTACCTTAGATTGTGGATTGCAATTAAACCCGGGCCCTTAAACCCCAGTGTGCACAATATGACCACCCAGCAAAACTGGGTATTGAGAACAGTGTCTCCTTTCCCTAACTTAACTGCAATTAACAGTTTAGTTGGTTCATTCAAATTTCAAATCCTTCTGGAACCATTTTTTCTTTTAAAGTGAATATGTGAATGCACCCTTAGCAGAAATATAAGCAGAGAAAAGTAGAGCTGGTAAAGCTCACTCAGGAAATGAGAAATGAAAGGATATAGAAGAGGCCCCTGTTAGCGCAGTACATACGTCTACTCTAATTAAACTCCGGGCTGCGGATATGTAAGGAGAGGTGTTAAAAATGAAACCTCGCAATTGGACTGATTTGAGAGAAAGCGTAAAAAACCTTATACCCCTCCTTTGCTCTGTTTTTTATTAAGCATATGAAGGGAAACGTGATAAGCTTTCAATTTTTGTGTTAAACATGGTGAGTGAGTAATGTTCTGTATCTTCTTTCCCAGACAGATACTAGCAACTTGAATGACATCATCATCGCTGAGGCAATGGTATGTCAGTTTAGTTTTCCCTTCTTTAAATAACATCTACCACTAGGAGCAAGAGAAAAATTATAAAACAAATCATTCAAAACCTAAGAATTTTTCTCATTTCACTAACATCAAATAATAAACAAGTTAATGAATGTAAAAAATATGCTGCTTTTCAGCTTTAAAAATAAAAAAAGGCTTCAGTAGAAAAAGCGACTGGCTGGCAAACTGAAAAAAAAAAAAAAAAAAAAAAAACACCCACAAGAATTGAGGAAAAAATCAAACCACATACGAAAATACTATCTAAACCACAAAAACCATAACATCACATCAACCTTGAAGCAGATTCATATTTACATAAAACATTTTAAGTTAATTGATACTTAGTAAGTGAATTTACTCAAAATCATCTTGAGGATCATTTAATTTTTTCTTTTTGCCCAGTCATCTTTTAGCAAAAAGAAGGCTAAAAATTGCAAAATATCTTTTCATTATTTTTCAGCTTAGGTTAATATTCAAACACTAGACTGACATTATGTTGTTTTGCGTAACTTGAAAATGAAATTGTCAACCTATACTTGAATGGAAAAAAAGATACACTACCATTTTAATTAAGACATCAAGTACTTTTTTTCTGGTTTGCTACAAAAATTTCACAGGATGCCTTAAACATTACAGGGACAGTTCATGTGGTTGAAGACAGTCATCAATCTCTGATTGTAAACACAGTCTCTATTTTATCAATGGAAGGGGGAGGCGTTATATCTAAACATAGTTAAACTATAACTTTCACTCAGAAGGGGTTGTCTTAGGGGGTCTGGTGGTTGCTAAATGTTCTTCACAGCTATACCAGTCAAAAAATATGATACACAAAGTATGTGCTCAATTAAAATTAATACAAAATCAAAGATATCTCTTAATGTAGCTGTTTTAGTATTATTGACCATTACAGCCACTTTAGACTGCTCAATTTAGGCGACTTAAGACACTGTGGGAAAAGCTGGGACTCACAGCAAAGTACACCTTCCAGTGTCTTTTTGACTAAAGATGATTCAGAAGATGTGACCCAGAAGTAAGATGGGACAAATGGCAATGAGGACCAAATATTGGTTGGCTAAAACGTCTGCAATGGGAGTGCTGGTGGTTGAAAAAATTAAATCATGACTAATTTTTAGTTAACTCTTAGTATAAAAAATTCATTACATATATATTCAACATCATTGCCCTTTAGACCAAAAATGTCTAGTTTTTAAAAAAAGTCAAAACTATACAAAGAGAGTTACAACAAGCATTTTCATAGGACAGTAACCAAAGTCTGTGACATTTTGAAGAATAACCACATCATTTCCCTCCACAAACAAGCCATCCTTGAGAGTACTTACCAATTAAGCACTTCATTCATAGCTTCAACCAATCAATGTAAAAAATTACAGCGTTGTAAATAACTTCCTAGGATAACTGATTACGATTCAGTATATGAACCGTGTAATGATTGCCCTAGGCAAATGGAACTTTCTTTTACAGAGACTGCTATGTCTATATACATACCTTCTCTAGTTCACTGGATGGTCTGATATAGTACACATAACAGGGCTATATATAGGAGAACATGACAGAGAAAAATCACTTATCTGCCATTACTGGCCAATAAAAATTGAAAAATGAAACAAGGGTTGAGAACTGCACTTCGACTGCAGTTATTCATCTTTTCAATATTGTTTTGATGTGCATAGACAGAATCAGACAGTCAAGCAATTCTCACAAATTATAATATTTACATCTGTCAAAAGTTTTTTTCCATGTTTATAGGTAGCACTTCAAAAATGTTGACTGTTGTATTTAGTGTCAACAGTTTGCGAAATATTAATTAATTAATTAATTTTAATAAATTATGAATAAGGTTTTCCATTGTATCTAATTAAATTGATGAAGAGTTTATTTAGAGATTAAACAATGAGAATCATACATCAGTTTCTAATCACCATCTATGAACTTTGATAATGTGCGTTGATTTTGTGCAGGAATGGCATTAACACTTTATTACAATATCTACGCATATATATATATATAACAATGGCTAGGTAGCGTCTGATATTTTGACAGAATTTGTGTATGTTGTGTTAAACCTTTGATCTTGGACTCACTGTAACTGCAATCCTGTTGAAAGGCCTGTAGTCAAGAGGGAGAAACAGACAACTTGGGTTCTATCACAGGTTGTATGGCAAAAGATATGTTCTCTGTTTATTGTATGGCTAGGGAAGCAATATGGATGTAGATGCTTGCTTGTCTTCAAATATTCAAAACAATACATTTATCAGAAACACATAAATACAGGACTTGACATAAGGCCTAGAATTTCATGAGTGCCTGGCAAATTTTATTCCAATGACAACATTACACAATAGTAATACTGTGAACATTCTAATTTTTAACTGAAATGTCATACCTGTTAAGGATAAAAAACAACAAAAATTCATTTGAAACTAAAATAGATCTGTGTGACCTCAAAACGTACTTTCTAAGTAATGTAAACAAAGTTTGGAGAAGTCTTGTTCAATATCTTGAAGTGATATATGCACAATGTATCTTTAAAATATCCAACTTGATACAATGTATTCGCAGCAACTCTAAAGACCACCCAAGCTCTCTAAACTATTTGCCATATCAATAATATATTTTCTATCGTTATCACTACTTATATCCCACTTACCGTGTTGGCTACTTGTCTACTGCTGTCACTACTATCCCTGGACACACGGGAGTGTTTTGAAGCTTTCTTGGTTCGGCTGTCTAACCACTTCTGGTGATACACTTCAGTGTCTTTGTGGATGTGCTCGGTCAGTTCTTGGAAGTTGTTCTGGTAGCGAGTATAGGTGCCATTTTGATGTCTGCGATAAAACTCGATGCGCCGCCTCAAACGATCCACAACGTCTTTCCTCTTTGGGGGAAAGAAATCCCCCATGCTATCCTGTAAATGCACAATGGTGGACGGGTGAGACCGAGACACAAACGGAAAAGTTCGTGTGTAGTCTCGCTGCTTGGAGGGGGACCCTATACTTGATCAACCAGGGTCGCCTCTAGTCCCAAACAACGACTTAGTCGGGGTCACCAACTGGCCTACTTTGTCCCGTTTACGATTATCTTGGAGCACGAGCGCTCGAGCTTAACTCGTTTATCGAAACACTTAAGTTCCTTCCGTCTCCATCGCTGTGATTGAAACATCTGAAGCCGGTGTGTTTCTTTATAACTTGCCCACGATTAGTTTTAGCACACAAACTTTGAAGTCTGGATGAATTCACCCTGGACCGAGTAAACTAAGCAGGGCGAGTCAAACTTGCCGGAAAAGGGATGTCAGGTTAGTGGGAAATAGGTCACGCAAGGAAGCCAACCGTGTATCCGTGCGGCTGGTAAGTATTGTCATTTCTTTTTTTTTTTCTCTCTCTTCAGATATGTGTAACTTCTTTTTTTAGGTGTACATAGTCAGTTTTATTTTAAGTTTTTGATTTATGTTTTTAGATAGATAAGACAAAAAAATAAAAAAATAAAAAAACATGTTTCCGAAAAAGTTCACTTCCCAATAATTTTTTTATATTCCTATACATTCGTTGAATAAGAACCGTTAAATGTTCTTTTCCGAGAAAATCGCTTATGAAAGGCTACTTGACATTTGAAAGAGACTGAAAAAATGAAAAGATGTTTGTTTTCATTAGTACGATTCAAATAATTCCACGTATGAAATCTTGTTATTGAAACTTTTTTGCTTCAGAGTTACCCGTTAATTTGGTGTTGGGATCTCTGGCAGAAGTCTAGTTGAGATGACGTACAGTGAGAGTGTACCGCTCATCTCCACCCACCATCACTCCCACTGTACTTCTATTGAAGGCCATTGAAAAGAAAAAAAAAAGGCATAATTTTGCATAATTTTGACTTGCTCCCTTAGTGTCGCTATTTCATGCTACATTGCCATTTAGTCTAACATAGTAAGGAATCAGCAGTAATAAAAAAGCGATATAGTTCTATGACAGTTAGGTAATTAACCATTTAATACTTATCTTTGAGGGAAGACATCAATTTTAATTCATGTGACCCCAGTACTTCGACCCCGTGTAGGCCTACCTTTAATATAACCCCGGTTACGCCGTTATTATGACATAGATGTCACATAGATCTGTAAGATCATAATTTTCATTTTTTTTTCTGACAGTTCTTATGTCTAAATAAATTAACAGTAAGAAGAACGCAAATTAATGTAGCTAGAGCTGGGCAGGCAGATGTCTTAGGTACTGCACCGGAAAATAACGGCACAACAGAACATTTAATCATTTATTCTTGTCCACTTATTAATTAATTTTCAAAATTAAAATCACAAATTTAACATTGGAAATAAAAACCCAATCACCCTTATTCATGTGGTTTATATGTTAAACGATATTATAGAAACACATCTGAAAGTATTTTCAACTTTCAGAAGAGAGAGTTGCTCAAAGTTGACATTACGTTTTTGCAGTGGTGCAACCTGATCCCCCTTTCCATTCAAGTCCTAATGCGATAACGAGGCCATCCAATATGGCAGCCTCCATGTGCTCGACATGTCTCAGAAATTCCTACACTAAATTGCTGAATAGAGTCGCATTTAAAACTACACGGAATGTCAGTTTATCAAGTGCATGTCGGATTCATACCCATACACCTTCAGGTAAATTATGTGTTTTATACCAAATGTAGATGTTGTTGTGACTAATGGTAGAAGTTCGAGAATTTTCGCTGTTGTACTGCATGGTGACGTTCCATTACGTTATCCTCTTTGCGACTTGTTAGGAAAAATATCCCTAATTTTCTCTCTCTCTGCTTTCATCGTCTTCGAAAGATAATGGTTGATAAAGCAGGGAATACGCCAATTTATGTTAACTTTATTTAGATCGTTAACTTTGTTTGCATCGTTTTCTTTTCACGTTTTTGAGTGATGATTTGCATTCACTTGAAAAGCTGCATTTAAGTGTAACACTTAATCCTGAAGATGGGAAAGGAGAAAGGGGATGGTCGATGTTGATAAATGAATACTCCTTGATGCAAGCTAGTGTCAAATGCTTTACGTAGGTGGTTGTATTTTGATGTGAGAAAGTTTACGCCTTTGCTCTGTACTATTTGCCATAAATAAGTACACTTGTTGCTAGGGTTACACGCGAATGGCAGTCCTGCATATTGATTAAGTATCTTGTATCCTGTATTGATGTATGAGAAACTGGAATATCTCTTTTAGGCAAAGGGGCAGCACATTTTAAATGGTTATTTGGACTGAAACTACACATCCCCCCTTCAAACCTACACGTGTATGTGCACACACACACATACACATTCACATGTAAAACACACTTCATTGAATTGAGTAATAACAGAAACAAAACAGACCAGATTTTTTGGAGGAACATTTTTTGGAGACTATATTTCCACCTAACCTTGATGTCTGCTGACCTGTCTGGCCTTAACAGCCACTCAAAGTCCTTTCACAGGGCAATGAAAAAGGAGAGCTGGAGTACAGAAATTTTCACTTAAATGGTTATCTGTGTATAATTAAATTGATTGTTCATCAAGGTTGATGATATATATTTGTATGTATGTGTAATAGGAGGGGAAAATTAAAGATGATGAACACTTTTGTAAACTCTTTCAGTAGTTCATGGACCTGGCAGTGCCAGCACTTTGCTGAAATTTAGAGGAAGCTTCAGACAACCCGTGCAGTTTTACTCTTCTCAGTCTACCACAGACCAGAATGAAGACCAAAAAGAAGATATTGCAGAAGAGGGAGCTGAAGAGCAAGAAGAATACCATACAATTATGAAGGGTACGGAGAGAGGGAAAGGTATGTCATTAATTGAAGCTGAACATCAGTTAAAGATTACATTGTATTATATCACAATATTTATACGGTCAGATTAACTATAAGCTTTGCTAATATAAATGATAATAGCTTCCTTATAGATACCTTCTTATATATCCAGATATTTTTAGTTACCTTTGGTTTCAATTGAAATATTTGAATTATTTTATTGATACAGCTGGATTTCAGTTGATGTTATCAGTTCTCAGTCTTCAGGGACACCAGTGTTGTTTTTTTATTTTATTTTATTTTATTTTTTTAAATGGAATATATTTGAATAGCATAAAACTTTAGATAGGAAATCGTCCTTGGAAACTGTTAGGATGTGTGCATAATAAAATCTTTAAGGAAGAGTGCAGGGCCAGACCCAGCACTGTTATTAGTGAGGGAAACTCCACTGTCATTGTTACCAAACCACATCTACTTCCTGAAATATCTTTTGAAGTCTTTTGAGATTTTATCAAGCTAAGAGGTTATTTCTTATTTAAAAGCTCAACCAGGAAGATTTTGACTGCCTACAGCCCCGCTTTCACTCCCAATGATACCCATCCAGAATCCTACTTGGATTCTACCAATCACCACTGGAGTGACCATCTACTTGTTTTGTGAAGCACTATATTTTTATAATATTGGTAACCCTGATTGTTTATTGGGAAAATCATTTATGGTGGTTATCTGACTTCATTTTGCATTTGGCCAAATGAAGTTTCTCTTTAAGTGAGTGATAAATTTTAGAATAAAGAAATAAAAATTAAACCATTTTCTCATTTTTATGGCTTTAGCAAATTGAAACCTCAACAAATTGCCAATTTAATTTTCTAGCATAAGTTTGACAGTCCACAGGTTATTTTGTTAAGATACTTGTATACCACAGGTTTTGAGATATATACCACAGATTGTGTGCTAATTTCTGTGCAGTGAGCAATCCATCACATATCAGTCTGGCAGCCACCTAACTCTCTCACTTGACCTCAGTTACAAAGCCTTCTGGCAGAGAACCATCCCCTTTTTTATGTGGAGCCAGGAATTGATTGATAAGGGATACTAACTGTCATTGTAAAGACTGCAAAATGCTATTAATCATAAACTGTCAGAAATGGAAAAGTTTTCCCTTGGGTACATGTGTGACTGAACTTGTTTTGTCATTCAGCTACATAGAACACATTTTCAATAACTAAAAGATTTAGGGTATTGCACAAAAAAAAGGTCTCCATTCAAAAGAAGCTGATATTGTTTTTCCTAATCTATTACTTTGAAATCATGCTATATTAGTCAATGTTTAAAATGCCTTCTGCTTCTCAAAATGATGAACACTAAATTTCAGTTGTATAGAGCAACCTGTAATGGCAAAGTGTTCAATGAAAAGGATTTTGATTGTCAAAACCAATTCTTAGTGCCAAATGCATTGGTGAAAGTTTTCAGGATTATGCCTGACTTTAGGATTTTCAGTCTTCATTTTGATCATTTAATTTTTCGTATGGCCTAAACGTGATGAGAAATTGCAAGCTACTTTTTTAGGATTTTCAATTTTTACAACTTTCACCCATGCAGATATGAACTTCAACACCATTCATGCAAAACACTGTATCCAGATGAATTTTGCAGGCCATTTCAAGAAGAGCTCATGGTCATCACAATTCACTCCACAGTTTGTATTTATTAGAATTGTGGTACATGCAACTGTGTTGAAAAAATTGTGCTTGAAGCCTTTAGTATCTGCATGATTATGTGCAGCTGTGGATGAGAGATAGAGAGAGACAGAGAGAGAATGCTAGAAAGATAACAGAAATATAGGCATTATGAGTACTTACTATTTTTAAAGTCACTGGTGGTGAGTAGAGCTAGTTACTGTATGTGGTGCCCATATAGCTCTTTTAAGTCTCTTGTCCCATATATTTCCATGCCTTCGAGGCATGGCAAGGCTACAATAAACCAGACTAGCTGTTCACGGTTTTAAAACCCACACTCCATAAAATTCCTAATGTGATTAAGGGCTAGCACTTGTCTTTAACAGTTTCAATGTAACATATCCTTTCTGAGTTTTAAAATAATTGAGATGATTGCTGTGAGGTGTTTTGAAACATGCTCAAATATTTTTGGGGTTTTGAATTTATTGTCCTTATTGAAATATGAATAACATATTAATGGCATACGGTACTCATTTAATAGCTGCAAAGCTAATAGTCTTTCCCACTTCATAGATTAAAATCTATTAAAAAACCCTTAATGAAAGTACCTGAGGTTAATAGTTCTTTCTGAAGTATACATTCTCAGTGACAGGCCAGTCTTTTAGAACTAAATAATTTAAATTAAAAATGAAATAAAGCACCAAATTCAAGTCCAAGAATTCTCTGTGAAAATTCATTTTGGTCAGTAATTCCTGTATAGAATGCCTTTAAATAAGATCACTGAAAATTGGAGTGTATTCAGGAAAGAACTTGGTTTACCCAATTTTGATACAATTTTGATACAAATTACAAGTCTTAAGGGGCCCGCACACGGTGAGCATTCGGCGCGTGCCACTTGTGCTGCGCCAGATGCTCTCACTTCTCAGCGCCCCGCAAACGATGCGCTCTTTGCTCAGCAGAGATGCCTCCCGGCCTGCCCCTATCGGACGCACCGCGAACTGTGGGATCATGTGATTAAGGAAACATTACATATTTTTTTTTTCTGAAAGTAATGGCAAATGGTGACCACGTTAATCAATCAGACTAACTATAACTGAGTACATTTTTGTTTACTTCGCTGGAGGCTGCCATTTTTCTTTGTTTCCGGCTACCGGCACATGAGCATTGTTGGCATGGCGTGAGCAATCGGCGCTTGCACCCCGCACACGCTGAGACATTTGCCTCAAGGGACCAAAAATATCAAACACGTGAGAGAGGCAGCCGCGCGAGAGGCAAAAATCTCACCAAAATAGCCCCGCACACGATGAGGAAATGGCGCAGCGCAAGTGGCGCGCGCCAAATGCTCACTGTGTGCGGGCCCGTTTATTGTTGGAGGCCCTACCTATTTATCTCTTCCATCTAAATATTATCAAATATAGATATAAAAGCATTCAGTGAACTTTGTTAAGTAGAAATCCCTTCAAAATAAAAGTGTAAGGAAGTGATCTTATTATATATTACATGCATCCTTAAATACTGACATGTTTTTCTTTCTGTTATTTCAGGACCTAGTTCAAGTCATGAGTTTCAAGCTGAGACGAGGAAACTGCTAGATATCGTAGCAAGATCTCTCTACTCTGAAAAAGAGGTAAGAAAAGTTGGCTATATCCTGTAGATGAAAAGGTACTCTTTGTAGAAAAGGCTTTCTACAAAATCATAAAATTGCAAGATATGGCAATGAATTTTGACAAGGAGAGGATGTGATGATAAGGACTAAAATAGGAAAATTTTCGAAAATGCATTTAGGTGCACTGACAAGTTGGGAGTTGGTCTGGAACTTTTTTCTACAAAAGTTTAAACTACCAGGTATTCCTGAAATTTTTATTTTTAATTATCAGTGAAAGGCTCAGTATAAGTCACATTTTGATAATTTATTATTAAAGTAATACAAGGATCATAATGAAGACAAGATCTTAGAGATATTACAAAAATATCTCTTGTATGGCAAGTGACTGGAAAAAAAAAACTTTTTTTTTTATTTTTTAATGAAATACATGCCAGAATACAGGTGCAGCATGAAATCTTTGTATAATACAAGATTAAGGAAAGATTAAATATGGGTATAACTATTGTCATCAAGAATACGATTCTTTAAATTAAAGAATAATTTCAGAAAATTTATGTGAATTATATTGGAAGTTGCCAGAGACTTATAGGCTCGATTGTTTATTTTGAAGTGGACCATGTACTTCATTTTTGTTTCTCCTTTTCATTTGACCCTCCATTGGGTTGCCATCTTTTGTTTTTCAAATAAACATGCTGGGGCACATCTTCCTTAAATCTTTTTTTTCTTTTAAATTAAGGTTTTAAAAAAATAGCAATAGTGGGAGTCTGCTTAAAAAAATTACTAAGGAGATATTCTGGAAGGTTTCCATGTTGCCAATCTTTGTGAGCATCTCTTTAGTATGACTTGAAAAGACACCTGCTGGGGGAAGAAGAATCTTGTGAATCTTGTAGACAATAAAAAAGCATTTAAGTTTTTAAAAAAAGAAATGCCGTGATGTTTTTCCAGATTTTCTTCTCAACCTATTACACCTAATGGTTGAACAAAGAGTAATTTGATCTTCGTCAATAAAGCCAACTTATGAATTCAGCTATCTGAAAAAGCATGATAATTCATGCACAATGCTTGTAGGTGTACATTTTCAGACATGCAATTATTTCCAGATGTGTGTCTCATTTTCCTCTAAAACAAAGGCTTAGGTCTAATAGGTAATTAGTTGTATCAAATGTAAATCAATATGTTCTGATAGAGCTTGACTCTGGGAGCATACGGGTGTGTAATTTGATTTCTTCATTTCATCTAGTTGTCTTGATGACATTATAATAGTAGACTTATGTTATCACCTGTTTATGACAACATGTAATATGTGGTTAAAGAGGCCACAAAGTGTCTGGAAGGGCAGAAAATGGAGAGGAGAGGAGAAAATAAATCGTATTTATGGATATAGTGAACTTCTATAAATATATGAAATTGTGGCCTGTAATTTGACAGAAAACGACCAGCAAAATATCCTTGGACCCACATTTATCCATACATTCTGTCAGCTTTTATTCATTGCCACCCTACCCTCCTCCTAATCGTGCAAAATCTCACTTGACATTTTTCTAAATTTTAAGACTTAGCTATATCTGACTATTTCCATTACTTAGAAATGATTTGAGTTAGAATGGTGCAGTGATTGTCTAAATTTGTTACTGTTGTAAAGTATTAAGTATGTGCAATAGATTGCTTTCGTTGCAACAAAAATAAAAATTGCTCAAATCCGGTAAGTGACAGTAACCCATTATATTCTTTGTTGTCTCACAGTATTGCCTTATTTTTCACTGCCATTATGTTGTATTGCACAGGTGTTTATCAGAGAACTTGTGTCCAATGGCAGTGATGCTTTAGAAAAGTTGCGCTACATGCAGATGACTGATGCTGAGATTTCTGATCCAGACTTGCCATTGGAAATTGATATTGAAGTTGATGCTAGCAAGAAGACATTTACAATACAGGTAAAAAGTCTGTACTTTTTTTCTAAAAAATGCAACTGGATATAATATTTAACTTATTCTTTTCTGAATGTCATTCAAAAGTCTTAGAGTGGTGATGGTGATTTCATACAATTTATTAGTACCACCAGCGTGTATGCTGGCGGTACTCATGGTTTTAGTCCCGACCCGTGTCGTACGGCTCCGTTGGCTCCTGCGGCTCCGCCGGCTCCGTGTTCTGGCGCCGGATACAAGTCACCGTTACCGCTTCTCCTCCAAGACGGCACGGACCCATGCCCCCCTCTCTTGGATTTAGGTTCCATATAATCTCAACTCGAACCCCCTGTGTTTTTGGTCTCAGTCAGTGCATTGGCCTGGGCGTGACGCTCATGGAAATGCACCCTTGTCAAAATTTTTGAAAATTCAATGCCAAATATCTCCCAAACTGAAGGAATTATAGGAAAAATTACTATAGAAGTTTGACTGAAAGTCATATATGAGGATTTCAAATATGCCTTTGGATTTGACCTTTGACCTTTATTTCAAGGTCAAACGGGCCAAAATTTTCAAAAAATGGGAATTTTTTTCAAAAATATTTTTATTTGTGTTGAATTTCAGAAACTACACAGGCTTAAGCACTCATATTATGGTGAGGGGATGCAATTAGGGACTCCTTTCATCTTTGGGAGTTTGGGGTCAATCAGTGCATTTTCATGGGAGAAAAGGCCATAAGATGCTGAAACTGAAAACTCTCCCTAATTCTGGAACCGTAAATGCTAGAGACCTCTTGTTTTTTGCATTTTGTAGAGCTTTTCAAGTGCAATACTGAAGGTGGTGTCTGTCAAGGAGTGGCACTATATCAAAAAGCACAACTGAGCAATGTTCAGTGGTGAAAATAAAATGTGAAACACTCCAAAAGTAGTAGAGATACACCCATAGTTACTATTGAACTTGAATAGGAAGTCATATACTGGCAATCTAACTGTGACCTTGAAATTGACCTTTGACCTTTTTTTCACCATGAACTGAACTTTGCAATTTTTTCATCCATTATATCTCCAAAACTAACAGAGATACACCCACAGTTACTATTGAACTTGAATAGAAAGTCAAATACTGGCAATCTAACTGTGACCTTGAAATTGACCTTTGACTTACTTTTCATGATGAACTGCACTTTGCACGTTTTCTGGCCTTAATATCTCCAAAACTGGCAAAGATATTCCCATAGTTACTATTGAACTTGAATAGGAAGTCACATACTGGCAATCTAACTGTCACTTTGAAATTGACCTTTGACCTTCTTTTCACCACAAACTGAACTTTGCAAATATCTATCCCTTATATTTCCAAAACTGGCAGAGATAGGCCTATTTCTTTCTTTCATTATATATGGAACACTGATAACACATTTCAAAGAAAATTGGCAAGCCTATTGTCTTAAAATTCGGCTTGATCGGACCATTTTTATAAAAGTTGTGCTGTCTTTTGTTTTTGTTTTTTTTTTTNTCAGCAAGTCCTATGACCGACCCAAGTACACATTACAGTATAAGGCTGATGCTCCCCTGAATATAAGAGCATTGTTCTATGTCCCAGATGCTCCAAGTAAGTTTTAGCTAATTATATATAATTAGAATGATCACAACACCAACAACGAGTATGTAAATGTGTGAGATCAGGGAATGTACACAGCAATGCAAATTAGGTGTGAAAATCTAAGGGGGAGTCGGGAGGGATATTTTTCCTTTTAGAACTGCTTCTCACATCCCCGGATACCTTCTCCTTTCATTTTAATATGTTAAGTTGATGAAGAATTTGATAACTGCTGTTGTGTTATACAGTGGTAACATAGTCACCATAGTTTGCATGTGTCCTCTCAATTTTCTAGTGGCTTGGGAGATGAGTCGCGAGCTGGATGCTGGCGTCATGCTGTACAGTCGCAAGGTGATGATCATGAACCAGGCGAAGGGTGTGATGCCAAAGTGGCTGCGATTTTTACGAGGTATGGGCACAGATAAAGGCTTAAGTAAACGGCAGACAGACAGACAGATGGACAGGCACGAGGGATCAAATGACAGTGAGGCTCTCAGACAAGTGATGAAATAGTAAAAGAAAAAATAGAAATGAAAAACAAATTCATGACGGGTAGAATAGGCAGTGTTTACATGGGATTTCAGAAATATTTAGTTTAATAATAAAAATTCCATACTTATATTGATATTGCCTTACCCATATCAAACAAAAAGTTTGCTGCCTGCTTTAGAATATTTGAGATAAATTTATTTGATAATTAAATTAAAATCCTATAAGCTAAATTGTGTTGCTGTTGACCTTGTTTCTGGTGTTAATAGACAAAAGCTGTCTGTCTGCCATGCTGTGATGTAAGTTCATGTAACATGATGTGTTAACTCAGTTACCTTACCTCTTCAAACCTCTGGTGACTCGTGATGTAAACTCATGCAATTAGTCAGAATGATGTCAGAGAAAGCCAAGTTAACATAGTGCACTGTATCAGGCAATGTGGTTTTTCGTTGAGAAATCATATATATTGATAAAAGACAAAAATGATTAAAAATTAATTTGATACAATTTCTTTCAAACTGTCTGTTGATGGGATATAATACTTTCATCTCAGAAAAGTTAATTTGGCAACCTTTAAATTTGTTAAGATTAAGTTAGATTATCATGTAGAGTTGCTATAATAGCACTTTTAGGACATACAAGGGCTTATACCGAGATTTTGCTTACTTGAAAAAGGGAGACGCATTTACCACCAGTCAATTAAAATCAAGATGAATTGTAAAAAAAAATGGTATTTTTTTGTTTGCCGTGGACAAAAAATGTATTTAGTTTTCAACAACCTGATGCACAGAAGAAATGGTTGCCATCTGTGCAAAAATTAGCTTCCATATTATGCACAATTAAAGATAAAAGCGCAAGCTTAATGAGAAACATGTTGGAACATCCATCTGTCAGTCATTTAGCTGCAGCTGAGGACAAACCCTCTTTAATTGCTTATTAATAAAAGTGAGTTCATTTGTGTTCAGTTTCATCATAAATGCCAAGTCTATTGAATTAATATAACTGTGTTTTTATTTTTTTAGACAAAAAGTTTAACTTGACATCATCATCATCATCATAATAATAATAATAATAAATTGAGCTGATAAACTGTGATAGAAGAGTTTGGGGAGAGGAATGTCCCATTTGTCTGAAACCCTGGATTTCCCAGGCCAGTAAGATGTAGAATACACAAACTAGACAGTGCTAGCCTATCTGGTGCCAGTTGAATAACATCATTGTGATAGATTATCTTAGTTTTCCAACTTCATCCATACTTTAAGGTAGATACCAATATCGTCAATAAAACTGACAAACTGTGACATTACATATTAAGTTGGAAGCAATTTTTTTTAAATTTGAATTTATTACCATGATGACTTTTATTTTAATAGCCCTAACCCCCCCCCCCCAAAAAAAAAAAGAAAAAATTCTTTAGAGTTTTTTTATCACATTGAAAAAAGTGTTTCTGTTTGTAGATACTTGATGTTTGTTTTCAAGACAGCATAATTAGAGAAAAGGTTTTCATATCCTTGAAGTATTTAATGTTTATTAATGAGAACCATAATCATCATATGATTGCTTTCATGCTTTCAGGTGTGGTGGACAGTGAGGACATCCCTCTCAACCTGAGCAGAGAACTTCTTCAAGACAGTGCTCTCATCAGGTAAGACCAACCAGGACTCCACCTATACTAGTTAATAAACTTAAACTACAGCAGACTACAGATTTTTTTATATGCAAATACGTGGTCTCTCAATTTAGTAACTCAATTTCAGGATTTTATATTTCATTTGTTCCAGGGACAAGACTAAAGGAGTAGATGTATGTCACTTAATCACTGGATTTCAAGATTATTACCATGCTTAAAAGAAAGATTTTCAACAACTAGATTAACATGACATTAAGATTTTATCTTATAGATATTTAAGAACATGACCAAGAGGATGGCCATAAGTAACTGTCATATTAATTTGCTTTTATCTTTTAAACATTCCAGGAAACTAAGAACTGTGCTTACTAATAGACTGGTGCGTTATTTTCTGGAACAAGCCAAAAAAGATCCTGAAAAGTACAAGGAATTCTACAAGGACTATGGCATGTATTTTATAGAGGGTATTCTTAACACCCAGGATCAACAGGAGAGGGTACGGACATCATTTATAAAGAACAACTTATTGATTGAAGTAATAGCATATTAAGTACTGCATAGCTCAAGATTTATGATCCATGTAGTTGTAGTGTTCTCAAGTCTTCTTCATTTCCCAAATGATTTTTATAATTGAATTAAGTCAATTTATGCTGTGCTAGATTTCAATAATCTCATTTATCTGTTAAAAGTTTTGCCTGATTACAATTTGATTCAGTTATTGGCAACAAATTTTAGGGTAATTTTGTAAAAAAAACAAACAGATTTTGTCAGCAAACAAGATCATCATGTTAAGCTTGTTTATCTGTTTCAGGAAGACATAGCCCGACTGCTGCGGTTTGAATCATCCACTAAGCACCCTGGAGAGACCACGAGTCTGTCAGAGTATGCGGAAAGAATGGAAGCTGGTGCGAGGACCATTTACTACTTCCATGCTCCGAGGTAACAAATATGTGATACTTAATGCTTCTGTATAAATATCGGTTTTTTAATGGTACTGAGAGCAATCGACAAGAAATTATTGCCCTTTGACATGAATTAAATTTCAATGCTGTGTTCAATTTCAGCCGTGAGCTTGCAGAAACATCTCCATACTTTGAAGCGGTCAAGGAGAAGGGCCATGAAGTTCTCTTCTGTTTCAATCCTTATGATGAGCTGGTGCTTCTGACTCTGCAACAGTTTGACAAGAAGAATCTCCGATCGATTGAGACGGAAATGGCAGCAGATCAAACAGGGACAGACAAAATCGATAGTTCAGGTATGTTGTCGAGAAAATAACTAGAAAATCGTTCTCTGACCTAATAAGATTTTTCTCTCGATTCAGAGATTTTTTAAAACTAATGTGAAATAATAATTTGTGTTCAAATGAATTGGATAGATATTTAGGGAGATGCTGATTGTTGAACATAATTGTGATATTAAAAATATTTATAAAATGAGAAATTATGATTCAGAAGATCTGATAAGTCAGTAATTATTCAAGCTTACATTTTTTGGGTGGGTGAGCAGATGCAGACAGTTTGAAGCAGGAAGAGGCAGATGCTCTGATAAGCTGGATAACTGCGAGAATGGGACAAAAGATTGTGAAAGCCAAGGTATGATATTACTATTATTTTTATAGGGCTTGAAAAATAATGAAAGCCAAGGTGATGATGTATGAAATTACTGTAGGCAGATAATAGTTTAAACTTTTACATTGAGCAGATTCCAGTAAAAGCTAACATCATTTACATGAAGTATCAATGGCTGCTGCTATTCCATTGGATTATCAAAACAGTAACGATTTGTCTGTGTAACAAGACTGGTGCTGTTGAAAACTAGCCATGGACCTCCATATGCTTGGCGTTTTGAAAATGGGACTTTATAATATTGCCTGGATGAATGAAAGTACATGTTATTCAAGAGTTGAAGTGGTCAAGAAGGATATTGTAGTAGTCTGTTGTATGTGTTGTTCCAGATCACAAATCGCCTGGTTTCCCATCCAGCAGTGATTTCTGTCATGGAGATGGGAGCTGCGCGCCATCTTTTGAAAACCAGCTTACTTGGACGCTCAGATGAAGACAAATACCGTTTGCTGCAAGCAACTCTAGAAATTAACCCAAAGTATGCACAAAAAGGAACAATAAACAGGAATAATAAATTTGTAGAAAGCTTATATTAATTTTTGATGTCATTTGTGTAACAATTGGATCTTTTAGTAATAGAATATGCAGTTTTAGTTTCGTACCATGTATATTGTACTTGTTGTACAATTTGGATTCATTTTATGACAAATGGCCTCAATTGACATGTCTTGTCTTGAGAGTTCAAAGTAATTTCAATAATTTAAATCCACAGGTATTCTTTGTATTATAAGTCTTTAAGAATAATAATCCCTGCTTTTCCAGACATCCTATTATCAGAAAACTTTCCACACTGAAAGACTCAAACCCAGACTTGGCCAATCTTCTAGCAGATCAGGTAGGTGGAAAAATTAGGGTCATTTTGCATAGAATCGGTGTGTTTGGTATTTGCTTTCTGTTTTAATTGTACATATTGATGAATGGTTGTTGGGTGCCAGGTAACGTGTTCAATGCCATTCAGTTTTCCATTGGCAGTCTAAATACTTCCAAAACATG